CAAGGGAAGGGGCAGGAGGATGGTGCTGGGTGGTCCCCCAGCTGTGCTTCCAGGTGCTCAGACTGTGGTCACCTGCTCGAGCCCTGCTCAGCACTTTGCAGAGGTTTGCAAAGATGCAATCCTGGTGTGGCAGTTCTCCTGTACCGCTTTCCGCGTGATCTCTCTGACATTTCCAGCCTTGCAGAGGCATGGCAGCGGATGCGTGACTTGGCCGTGAGCCCCCTTTGGGGTCGCTGAGGTCAGGGAAGGTTGCACGTGCTTTTGCAGTCAACCTGATGGCATTTGGAATGAGGCATTCGCTGTTGGGAGTCAGATTCACCCTTTTCTCTGTGGCAAACACTTGTAAAAAGACTTCAGCCTGTGGATCACTGTTTTCAGACAAAAAGGTCAAAGCAAATGGCGTTTTCCTGGCCAGTCCAGTCATAGTGTAGGGTCCCCTTCCTAGTGCTTTTCCAGGCTTATAAATTCCTTATTGTTTGGAAAAATATTTGGATAGCCCACTTAACTTTTCATCCCTTTCTCCCTAGTTCAGCCTGGGAATTCCTAAGCTATCCCTCCACCATTTGGAAGGAGCGCCCCTCAAATCCCCCCTAGCTTCTCAAGCTATGATTTTGGGAGACTGCACAGGCAACAAAAGGCAGCTCCAGAAAGATGGGAGTGGACCAGGTTCCCACAATAGTCTCTGACCCTCCCTCTTGAAAAGTGAAGAACTAGAAAGAAGACCAAAGGCACGATGCAATGCAGCGTCTTGTAAGAAGCCCCAAAATTCAGGAGCGCGTCTCTGTGCCAAGGTGGTGGGCTCCATGGAGCAGGGACCCCTTCTTGTATTTGTCCGGCCCCAAGCACAGTGCCTGGGCTCAGCAAATAATAATAATGCGATGCAGCGTTTTAGGTGGAAGAGATCGGAGAGCCCCACCGAGTGTCACCTGGATGCCCCTCTCTTCCTCTGGATGCCCCGCGCGGGATCACGCTCGGCTCCTGCGGCACGCCTTGCTTGCAGGGCCCCAAGGAATCAGGAGCATGGTTAATTTGCCAGCGGGCTTCTGCTGCCCAGACAAAAATAAAGACACTCCCCCCCCACCCCCTGCCCTGGAGGGCTCGGTGCCCGTGTTTGCAATTGCTTTTGTTTTTAGGTTCCCTTCCTGGGCTTGGGCATCTCCGGTCGCTGAGAAAGGCAGGCAACCTGCAATCGCGGGGCTCTCTTTAGATGGAAAACCAGGACACGTGTCCAGATACCTCTCCTGCAATAGTCAGCTTCGGGAACAGCTCCCAGCAGGAAGCAAATGGGAATTTCCTGGACTGAAGTCCTTCTGGCCATATGTGACTTTTTTAAAGCAGCCACTCACACATTCATGTTCTTCTGGGTCCCATCTGGAGCCTAAGTGGAAAATTGTGCTCCCAGCCGTACTTTCAGACGTGAAAACCAACAGCGTGGAACGGCAGGGCAGGGCAGGGCAGGGCGGGACAGTCCGTGCGCGGCGTGGAGGAGCACAGCAAGCGGGCGAGCGAGACAAAGGGTGCCCGGAGGGCGCTCGCGCTGCGCAGGCGCCGGGTGGTTGGTGGGCTGTTAGTAACGCAGCAGAGAGGCCGTGGTGGGCTGTGCAGGGGCAGAAGCGGGATGATGACCGTCGTGTGCTAAACTCCTGCCCCCATGGCGAACCACATCCACCGTCGGCTCTTCTGCGCTCTGCCCACCCGAAACGGCCTTAACCACACCCGGCTCCGGACAAGCTTTGGCCCTTCGTGGGTTTGTAACCACCAGCTACAAAACCCTTTCCTTTCTGCCAGAAATGTGAGATGTCCTCCCTGAGCGGGACTGGCCTTGGCCCCGGACATGCAGCGTCTGGCCTGGCCCAGTGCCCGGTGCAGTGTTCGCTATCTCACAACTGATCGGGCTGCCTCGAGGAGCTCCGTGCAGCCAAAAAGGAGAGATGCCCAGCTTGTCACCGGGTGCTCCCAGGACCTCCCAACTGCAGTACTCTTCTTCTTCCGTGTGCGGGAGGAATTTTGCAGGCGCAGTTGCAAATGGCCCTTTTTGCCTGAGCCGTTGGATAAAATTCAGCTTGCATAAAAAGCCATCATTTTGTAGCAAGTAGTCATGGCTGCAGGAAAGATCAGAAACCATCTGAAAAAATCTAATTAACTCCCTCCTGCTTCGTTCTCGTGATCAGAGCCTTCCGGAGTCAGACCAGCGTCTCGGCCCTTTTGATTAAGTGCGGACAAGGAGTTAGACATTCAGAAACGACAGAAACGCCACACGACGGCGTAGGAGCGGCCGTTTGGGATCGTGCTAGCGCTGCTGCCTCCGACAGCAGTCACCGCAGAACCGGCGGCTTCACGGGAAAGTGCAAGAAACTCCGAAGCGCGCGGCAATGGGATCGTGTGTCCCTCGGGAAGGTTGACTAGATTCATAGGCTTAGGCCAGAAGAGAGTATTTTGATCATTTAGTCTGACCTCCTGCATTGCACAGGCCAGGCAGCATTACCCAGCCCTTGCGGTAGTAGTCCGTAATTCAGCTGGACATCCCCCACCGTGACAGGTTTCTGATGCCCCGAGGCAGGTTTGTTGTCCCTTCCTTCCAGGACCCTTTTTTCTTTTTTAATATTTACTGCTCACGCAGGCGTGGAAGCCACGTTTTAAATCCTGCTAAACTCATGGCCTTGCTGGTACTGTGTGGCAACGAGTTTCACGTAGTTGTGCACCCTGAAAAGTGATGTTCTTTACCCGTTTTGTATTTGTGACCTTTCACGTGTCGATGAATGTCCCTTTGTTCCTGCATTGTGGAAATGGGTGAGTGTAAGTGTTATGAAAACGTATCTCCCGGCTCCCGGCCACTCATTGCTTTGCAGGGTTGATGCTGAGAGAGGAGGGTCATTTCCATCCTTATCGAACCTGTCGCTCTGGAAGAAGTGGGGTGCAAGGCAACCCATTCTTGGGGGCCCGGTGTGCAGAGGGGACTGTAAAGAGGTGGTGGAAACAAATGTGCAAAAGCGGTGTTTGAAGATAGCAGCAAGGGGGGCCTGGTAGAGCAGGCACATCCTCCCATGCATGAGACCAGCGTCGAGGCCAGAGGGGTTTGCACGGGGCTCGAACTTGTGAGGAACTTTCCGAACTCTGTCCTTTGGCTAAAACATGCCGTGTCTTTGTGAGGAGAGCGGTCTTGTGGGAAACACCGATTTTCCCTTTACTGCCACCTAGTCCCAATCAAACCAGCTTGTCTTAGTGGAAGCAAAGGCACAAATGTGCTCTTCCAAGAATCCCCCAGCCCGTTTGCGGCTGGGACGTACGGGGCGGGGAGAGGGAGGACCGCTGGGGCAGATGGGTCTGGCTGACGGCGGTCGTGGCAGCGAGGCCTCCCCGTGCCACGTAGCCCTGAGACACCAGAGATGTGCGAGCAGGGGACCCATGTCCCAAGCTCTGGGGCGACAGGGCATGGCCTTGTCTGCGGACCTCTGGGCCTCACCGTGGGCAAGACTGTCATATTGCCACCACATTCACGCTCTTGGGGGTGTTTGGCCAGAGCGGGGCTGTGCTCGCTCGGCCGGGTTTTTGTGACCGGGCGCATGCAAGAAGAGCATGTTGCAGAGCTGCTCTTCCCCGGCAGGCGCGGGGGCCTGGGTGAGAGCGGCAGGGCCTCGGGGACGACCGCTCCTCCCGGGCTGGGCTTGCGGCTGCCCCGCTCCCACTGCTGCTGGACAGCTCCCCGCCGGACGAGAGGTCCCAGGGACGGCCGGCCCGGGGGCTGCTCCCTGCGCTCGCTCCGGTTTCTCCTGCTGGGCTCCGAGCCGAGAGCAGAGCCGGGGACGGGCGGTGGTTCCCCGAGACAGAGAGTGCCAGAGCTGGGAAAGACCGTCCTGGCCCGGCGTGGGCGCTGGGTCGAGATCTTCCACCCGTGCCTGCTCCCGTTCGCCGACCGCTCGATGCCCGGACGTTGGAGGCATCCTCTCCCGCTGGCTTCTCCCCTCGGTGCTTCTCTCCCCTCCCCGGGCCCTGCCCCGCACCTTTCTCACCGATGGCACCCTGCTCACGTCCGCGTCCGGGGGCTCGTGCCCGTCTGCGCTGGCCGCGCCAGGGCACTGTGATCTCTGAAGGCAGCGACAGGCGAAGCGCAGGAACCACGTGGGACCCGCTCGGGCAGTGGGGAAGAGCAGGGCTTTGCGGTGCCCGGGGGAGGAGGGCCCGCGTGAAGACGGAGGTGTCGGTGGTCCTGGGGGCTGAGCACGGCCCGTCGGGATGCTGCACGTGGGGCTCGCCCAGGTGGGACAGACCGCAGGCTGGGCAATAGCAGCTCCTTGCCGTGTCCCCGGCCTCCTGGATGCTGTGGCCGGGTGCCGGCCTCGCCGTGCGAGGGTGCCGAGGAGCAGGGGGGACACCGTCTGTCCGCGCGCTCATGCGGGCCTTGCAGCTCCCTTGCCCCAGAGTCTGGGGGCCGGCCCCACCAGGCGCACCACCGTTTCCCGAGGAGAAGGAGCTCGGGCAGGCCGTGGCGGACATCCCTCATGGAGCCGGGCCTGGATCGCACAGCGGCTCGCTCGTGAGCTTCTGTGGCTGGTCCGTGCGACGGTGGTGCCTTTCTCCATCTCTTGCTAGCTCCTTTCTCCCTCTCCTGTCTGCCAGGCTTGCTGTAGCCGGGTTTTGGCTAAGACACCTGTCGTGATGCTGGCACAGGTCCTGGAGAGCATCCTTCCCTTCCTCCCTTCCTTCCCCACAGCCTCAGGGTTCCCCGTGGCACTGGAAATGGCTTGGCCCTGCCCGTAGAAATCTTGCCAGGTCTGGGGAAGATGCCGTGCCCACGTGTCAGGGGCTGCGGGGAGCGTCCATCCGAGGGGGGTGGGAGCCCAGGTCCAGGGATGGTGCCCTTCTTTTATTTCCCTGTCATCTGTCCGGTAGCAATCAGCTGGGTTTCCGGCAGGCGAGTCCTGAGGAGAGCGGGGAGGGGGCTTTGCAGCGCCGTGTCCCGGTGTCCAGATGTGTGACGCTCCGGTTTTTGTCTCACACAGGCCAACCCCGCTCCCATTATTGTGAACACGGACTCGCTGGAACAAGGGCTCTCGGTAAGTCTCCTGCTTTCCTTTGATTTTCATTTTCTTGTGCAAAAACAGCGGGTTAACTCTTCCTGACCCAGCGCCAGAAACACTTCTGTGTCGGGAGGAAGCGTCAGCCGAGCCATTGGAGGGGCTCAGTGGAGCGACGGTGGGCGGGGGGGAGAGGACCGAGCGTGCCCCCCGGCAGGTGGAGCACACCTGGTGGGCAGGGCAGCATCGGGTCCCAGGTGCAGGAGCTGGGGCTGTGTCCTTGCTCACCCCCGTGGCGTGGAAGGGTTTGTCTGGAACCTCCCCCACATTTATCGTGGCCGGCCGTGCCCCCCTGGGGCTTCATGTCACTCTGTGCTCCTGGCCCCTGGCAGAAGGGCCTGTGCCCCTCGGGACAGCGGCAGGATTTACTGTACCCACCCAGGCGCTTTGCACCGTAACCAGAGCTGGGCTTGGACCAAAGCCCTGCGTGGCCTGGTGGGGCGGCGGAGCTCGTGAGACGCCGCTTCTGTCTGAACAAATAACGTCAGGCAGCCAGAGTTGGAGGCGAGCGTGAGCGTTTACAAGCACAAAGCATTTGGCACTTTTCATTCTGCTGAAAGATACCCCTCGTGGGTTTGTTGCAGTGACAGATCATGAGCCGCGGCAGCCTTCGCCGTGTGCTTGCACACGGGCCCCTGAAGGAGAGGGAGAAGGGTGGGCTGCTGCGAGCGCCTGGATTTCTGCAGCGCCGGCTGCCTCGGCACGGGGCGCTCACGTCTTGCCCAGCTGCATGCTGCGCCGACACTGCTGGCAGGGTGGAGGCTGCGCCTATTTCTCCTGGGGTCCAGCAATGTGCAGCCAGCATCCTGGGTGCTGGGAGGGCCCGTGCACACAGCCGGGGCACGGTAGTGCTGGGGCCCGGGGGGGAGGTAGCTTGCATGCTGCACGTGGGTATCTCACGTGCCTGCCCTGCTTGGTGGCCCAAGTGTTCCAAGGTCACACTCAAAGGATGTCTGTGTCCAGGCCTTGCGGTGCCGGCCAGGGCCTGCGAGCATCCCCAGCTCAGCTGAACAAGAGCTGCCCACCCAGCTGCGCGGCCTCTCGCTCTCGAGCCCCTCCACAGACACCACATAAGAGTCTTCCTGCAATGGTGCACCCCTGCCAGGGGACCGCAGCATCCTCGCACAAGTCTCTCTCGCCCCTGCTAGCCTGGGGTAATCCTTTCAGAGGGAGCCACGTCCACCACGCAGCACCGTCAAAGCAGCAATATTCTCCCATGGCCTCAAAATGGCTTTTCATGTTGCCATTAAACCAATTATAATCCAAGTCCCCTTCCTGAAGGCGCGTGTCCAGCCAGCAGCACATTTTGAGGGTCCACAGCTGGTAGAGCCAGTACTCCGGTGTGGGCACGATTCGTCCATCGTCTCTCATTCGGTATCCGAACGCTGAGGAAGGTCCAAACTCCTCGCCTGCAGAGGCTGGGGTCCTTTGTGCACACGCGTCACGGCTCCTGCACGGACCGGTGTCTTTCATACACCGCAGACGAGAGTCAGCTCACGCAGAGAGAAGTCTGCCCCCTCCCCTCACGTTCTTGTGCCCCTGCTCTCTGGGGGTGCAGCTCCATTGCTGCCCAGGGCAAGAAATCAGTGTGAAATGAGCTCCACAACCCAGACGACGGCCCCCGGAGCACAAACACTCTCAGGCCTGTTTCACATGTATAACAAGGGGACTGGGCTATGATTCAAACGCTGTCCTATTGTCCCGGCTACGGAGGAGTGAACACCTTGGCTCATAATTAATGCCCTTTGGTAAGCTGCCCTGAGTGAGCTCCCTTACTGGAGCCTGAAACAGGGCTATAAATACAGCATTTTCTTGCCTTGCGTGTAAGGCTAAATATGAGGTGTGGAGCATGCGGTGTAACGGAGAGAAAATGTGACTTCACAGGTGAAGAGAGAGCACGCTTGATCAACCTTATGTGGGACCCCAGACGCCCCCTCCTCGACGGAGCAAAGGACTGGCTCGCCCCTGCGGCTGATAACCCAGCCCTTGGTTTCAGACCAGAAACTCAGAGTGGCCCCAGCCACAAACCTGCCCGGAGAGGGAGAGCGGGTACTTGGATGTCGAGGCTGTGCATACGATGTGCCTGTCCTTCACTCCCCATCCTCAGTGCCCACACAGGTTTCAAGCTTGCAAGAAATTACAACACAATACGATATTATAGCAAAAGAAGAGCCTGCAATTGGATCATTTTCTCCCTAGCAGCATTATAGAGACAGGCTCATCTCAAGAGGCATGGCAGGCCTTTTCCCTAGAGCCTGCCCCCCAGGTTCATTGCAGTCGCCCCTCGTGCCTGCGCTCCCGGGGAAGGGAAGAAAGCAACCCGCGTCCTGTTCAGAAACGTGGCGCGTGCGATTCCTGGCGAGAGTCTGCCTGGAAGCACCTCCCTGGGCGGCAGAGCTGCCCAGGGGGATGCCGAGATGGTCTCTGGAGATACTTTCACGTGCCGACATTCACCGCCGCTCATGTTGCTTAATCAGTTGGCTTGTTTAGTGAGGAGTCGAAACGTCCCATTTTTGGCTTCAGAGAAGAAAAGCCAGCCTGGCCACGTGCTTTCTCGGATCAAGCCTCCAGACCCAATGCAAAGCAGCATTACCTGCCAAAGCTGAAACAAGGCTGGTCGTTTCGGTCTGGGTGTTTGTCTGCATCATAAAATGACGGTACAGTCTGGAGCACATGCTTATGCTTTCACTGTCCCAGATGAGTCCCCAGGCTGGGGCAGCAGCCCGGTGCTGGCGATTGGGCTCCACATGCCTGGCTAAGTCCTCACTCTAGCCCTGATTGTGGCAAAGAAAACCGTGCCGCGTGTGAACGGAGGGTACCCGAGGTAGTGACGTCCATCTCGGTTTGCATAGAGCCTGCAACAGCTCTGGAAAGTAGGTTCACGCCACAGCCTGTCCTGTTTGCTCTGCAGCCACGTGATGGGCATCTGAATGTCATTATAAATGACATTTATCAGGGGAGGACAGCAGGGAATTGGGGATGCGCTGCTTTCCAGAGCGACCCAGGGAGTAACTAGGAGTAATGGGTGCAAACTAGTGGAGAGTAGATGTAGGTTAGACATTCGGAAGACATTTTTTACAGTAAGGGTGGCCAGAGTCTGGAACAGGCTGCCGGGAGACGTGGTGCTGTCACCTAGCTTGGAGCTCTTCAGTCACCTGGCTGGGGTCGTCTGACCTCAGTCCTCTTTCCTGCCGGGACAGGGGGTCGGACACGATGAACCTTTGGGTCCCTTCCGACTCTACAGTCTATGAATCTATGAACCATCAAGTGTTTCACCTCAAACGTGTAAGGAGGAGAGGGATGTTCGTGCTATGCAAAGCTGCTCAGTCTCTTGTGAGCGGACGCTTGTGTTGATGGCTCAGCCGGGTAAGGCTTGATGTCGAGGTGGAGCTGGGCCAAGGAGTTGACCCCGGGTTGGGGCTAGGGTGGCAGCAGACAGCTGTTATACGCGGGGAGCCTGGGGAAGGATGGGATGTGCCTGGAGTCAGCGCCAGAGCTCAGGAGTTACATCTCCTGGGAAACAGCAACACGAAAGGAGACTTGAAGGTGAAATCAAATAGCGTGTCAGGCCTGAGCGTGCCAGGCAGCATGGCACCAAGTGCTCGTTAGGCTGTGCTTGTGGAGGGACTGGACGAGGACGGTGGAGTGGCCCTCTACCAGCTCTGCTAGGATTGCACTTGGGACACAAGGTCCCCGTTAGCACCTCGTTCCCAGAACGGCCCCATGGATGAGACCAGGTCTGTCATGGGCCAGATCCCCTCTGCCCCTCGGCAAGCGCGGCTGCTGACTGCAGGATGGGCCTGGCCACGGGCCCTGGCTGGCGACACCGGGGCAGAGCACGAGCACGAAGGAAGAAAGGGAATGGCGTCGTGTCAGACAAGGGGGTAGAAAATGGAGCAGACAGTTTCGTTCTCCACCCGGTGCCTGGCTAACCCCAGTGCTAGGTAGCCGTCTGCTCCCCACAGGTGGATTTCGCCCTGGCTGAAGAGCTGGAGAATCGGTCTTTGTGCTTCTGAACGTGTTTCGGTGGTCTGGCGTCTCAGCTACGTGGCTCGTTCTCCGTGCCCGTGTAGCTGCCTCGTGCAATTACTCGACACGCCATCGTGTGAATTTGGGATGTACGGGCAAAGCTGAAGTCAAGCTTCTGGGAAATATCCCAGTGTCTGGGCAGGACGGGGATGTGTGAGATGTGCTGGGAGCTGGGGAAGCTCGAGCATTACACGGTTTCCAAGAGGGAGCGCCCTGGACTCGTGGGCCTGGCAATCACGTTTGAATTAGCCAGAGCATGTGTCCGCTGCGAGGAGGAGGAGGAGGAGGAGTGCCGTGGAGCTCAGGTAGGACAAGATGAGGTTGAACATCAGGGAAAGCCTCGAGCACGACGTGTATGAGGCCTTGGCAGCCTCCCCCAGGGAAGAGGAGCGAGCCCCACGGCTTGTGGCATTTAGTACTGGAGCGAGCAAAGCGCCTTGCAGTCTCTGTTCCCAGCAGCGGTCGGGGAAGGGTGCATCCGTCCTCTCTGTGCTGCCTCCCATGCAGCTCTGCCATGCGACCTGAGGCAGTGGTGGGAGAGCAAGCCCCGTGCACGAAGCAGGAAGGAGTGGATGGTGGGGGGTGCCGGCGGAGGGACGGAGGCAAAGCCCGCGCTACAAAGGTTTGCCTGCGTAGCTGCGTCAGCTCGGGGCGTGCAGAGTTTGCACCCGCTTGCTGAAACAGCTGCATTGGCAGCCCCCGGTGTAGATGCAGCTGTGGTGGCACAAGGGCTCTTGTGTCGGCTTGGCTGCTTTTGTCTGGGGAGGCGGCATAGCTTTGCCAGCAGAAAGCTCCCCTTCGGGCCACGTGCCGTCTGCACGAGGGGATCTTCTGGGGGAGCTCCAGCCACAGAGACCCCGTGGAGCAGACGGTGTCCTGTGCTGCGCCGCGTCCCTGTGCGGGCGGTCTCCTGTGCGGGAGACTGCTGCACCTCGTCTTGGATCCGCTCG